GGGGGGGGGGGGGGGGGGGGGGGGGGGGGGGGGGGGGGGGGGGGGGGGGGGGGGGGGGGGGGGGGGGGGGGGGGGGGGGGGGGGGGGGGGGGGGGGGGGGGGGGGGGGGGGGGGGGGGGGGGGGGGGGGGGGGGGGGGGGGGGGGGAATGCAGAGCGGTGTCTGGCTCTGATACCATTTGTAATGACTCAGGTCCACCGTTAGCAAATATTGTCCTCTTTGGACTTTCCCTTTCGAACTTCCCCTCAAGGCTTTAAAACGCGTCTGCTAGGGGAAGGCTTTAAAACGCGTTTGAGAATAGAGTATTTCAAGATATCACTAGTCTCCCTTGATTTGTGAAGCACAACAAATGAACAAATAAATTTCAAACAAGTCACGTCTAATGTAATTAATAATCAGCAAAAAAGATAGATATCCTAATTCAGATTCATACAAAGCTAGATTTGACTTGAAGTATAATGCTTGACCCTCTCCTAAATGTGTTGATAAGTTCTTGGTAATTTACAATGGGGAGAAGGAAGATCTCCACTCAGTTTATTCATAAAACTCAAACCGCAGTAATAAACTTGGATAATGATAGACGACATGAGTTTTTCAAGGGGTTTGATAACGATCCAGTTTCTAGTTTCTAGTTTCTAGTTTCCAGTTTTTCAAGGGTCTTAGGTTAGCCTGTAAGCATGACCACCAAAGAAGTCGATGCACATATCTCCTCTAACGAGTCATGCTACAATGATAATTCAGCCCAAGACGGAGTTAGAGACATAGGGATATAAATTGTCAGGGCACAAAAGGTAAATGCTGTGATCTTTCAATTAGGAGATCTACTAGCTGCAACTTATGGAGCTACCTACTTTCCATGTTTAAACACCACTCTTCCCATGATAATGGCGGGCATCCCTTTAAAAACAACACAAGTAGGCCCTCTAGCTACGCTTAATAAAAGCCTATTCGTACTCTTTGGCTCGAAAGGAACCATAGAACCTTCAAGAACAAAGCAAAATCCATTGATTGGTTTATACACTTCTTTATTCTTTTTGGCTCTCTAATATTATTAACAGTGACACTATTAATAGTGTTGTGACCTAGTTTATGGTTTTCAAGGGAGAAAATGGTTAAACTAAATCCAGTCATGATGTAATTCAATTTTCTATTACCGAAAAGTGTCTTAGGACCCGATCCCAACATAAATGCATAAATCAAATGAGCTTACGTTGCAATTCCCAAAGTTATTATGAACAAACCCTTTCTCTCGTTCACAGCCCAATGATGAATAATATTGAACTAGAAAGTGAATAGATCAAGTGGAAAATCGGATGAGATTACCTGAATGGTCATAGCTTTTTTGTTAGAATCGAGCTGGCTTCCTACACAAAATCAGATCAATAACGACATCAAAATTCAATAAACCCAAATAAGACCTAAAAAATTGGGAAATCCGACGAAATCAATAGCAAAATCGAAAGGAAAACGAGGATCCAATAGAAGTTACTGAAGAGCAGGAAAAAGAGGATGAAGAGAGTACCCTTGGCGCCTTTTTGTTTCTCCAAGTTTCTCTCACGAGCCATCTTAGCCTTCTGACCGTTGCCTCCTCCCATGGCGGAATCGATTGAGGAAATAGGGAGCGGATGAGGCGACGATTTTGCTGAAAGGAAACAGAGGAGACCGCTGATAAAGGGTTTTTCGACTGCTAACGCGGTATGCACTCACCACTCGGGAGATGAATCTATACAATAAAACTTCGCTTTTTTTTCCTTCTTTTTTTTTCTCAACTTTCAAAATTGTAAATTTAATTGAAATTTAAAATATTTTTAAATTTTAAAATCTAGAAAAAGATATCAAATTTAAATTTATTATTTAATACCCAACGCACATTTAAATCCTCAATTTAACAAAAGCAAATCTAACAGTTTCGATAAAACAATATTTTTTAAAGAAGAAGTCGCTCTACCTTGATCATTGTGGACATAACCTAGAAAACGTGGGACGCTGGGTCGGGATTTGGTGAGGCGAGGCTGATCCCACGGTTAAGATAGTCGTTCTGGAGGTCGCACAGCAGCCTCTAGTCTAGCTCCACCCGTGAATCCGAGGTGATTGAGTTCAGGAGCAAATCTTTCTTTAATTTTCTCGACTATGCCAGTGAAGATGGCTTCCAGTGATCGAGAAATCCAAAATTAAAAAAACCATTGATTTCTTTTACAAATTGTGTCGTATTTTTCATTCGAGTTCCCACCCTGGAAACCTCTGTCCGGGGATCGGGTATCCATCAAATATATACATATTTAACTTTTTTTTTAATTTAAATAAAGATAAAGTATATTAAAAGTATATATTTTGTTAGGTTAATAACTTCTAAAATTATTTAAATATTTATTGTAAAAATTAAAAAGGGAATTGAAATATAAATAGGTCCAAGAAAAAAGAGGACCCGCCTGATCGCATCGGCGACTCAGAATCTACGGTTAGTGAAGAATTCTCGGTTACCGCCCAAAGGAACTCCGGAGCTGGAAGGCAAATTCACCCCTTCTGCGACCGACCGAGCTCGTCGTCCTTCACATCCTTCTTCTTATCGAGTATGCTCTCCTTCCTCTGCTGTGTTCATGTGCTTTTTTAGGGTTTATACTCCTAGGGCTGAAAAATAGTAGTTGCTGTATGTTTTGTTTAGTTTCTTTGTCGATGAATTGAAATGGAGATTTGATTGTGGTCACAAGATATGGCTGAACGACAACCACTCGACCAGCAGAATCAAATCGATCCACAGTTGCAATCCTCGCAGTCTCCAAGAGAAGATATGGTTTCATACGTGATGGCCTTGGAAGCTGCTCTGCTTCCGTGCTTGCCTGCGAGAGAACTACAAGCAATCGACCGTTCTCCTCACCCTTCTCATCAAAGTCAGTTACTGATCCCTCCCCTTAAATCTTTGTGCATTCCAGATTTAATGTTACACTAAGCTGGCAGATAAGAGCATAATGTGACCTCAAGTTTCCTGATAATTATAATAGCATCTTATAATGGATACCCTTTGCAAGTTCTCTGTTTGATCTGCAGAGACAAACAGCTATGTACAATCTGTAAAGCAACTTTCCTGAGTAAATCCTCATTAAATTTGGTTCATCATGTTCTGTTTCATATGCTGGAGGTCTGCTGCTGTATCTGGAGATTTTGGTGCATTAAAATTATGTGGACGTGTGGTTCTCTATGAATTTGTTTGATTGAAATATGTGAAGTGGAAGTGACAATTTAGATCTAGAAGTAGCATGATTGTCTGTAATCTACGACTCACAAATGGCTCGACATAGGACCGGGGGGATGCTCGGCGTTGAACTGATATTGTCTGTGGTTAGGTGTTTGTAAACAGTGAAGAAAATGACGCCCTGGTTTGTTTTTGCTTCAGTTGACGTGGAGAGACATGCTAGGGATTTTATGGAGGCAGCTAAAAAGCTTCAACTATACTTCATTGGTTTACAACGGGAGGATCAGCCAACCAAAGTGGAAACACTAAGAAAGGTAAATAATCAATCAAGCACCTTATGATAATACTATTCTTTTTTGTAACATTTGTTTGTACTACTTTTCATCAGGAGATTTCTGCCATTGAGGAGGAATTAAAGTTAAAGGATGACATAATCAAGAAGCAGGAGAGGCTCATTGAAGGGTGGAAGAAGGATTTGAAAGACCAGTTAGACAAACACAACAATGAGTTAGAGAAGGTTTAGTAGAATAGGCTTGCGATCCCAATGCTCTATTGTTTAGTTTTTTGTAGGTCATGTCAATTGCATACGTTCACTACTAATTAATGGTGGGGTATTGTTTGCCATAGACGTTTTTATGTAGACACTTGAATGCATTCACCGAATAACATAAACCTAATTGTGCTTGTTTTCGTCCAATATCAATCAAATATGAAATAGTTATTAAACGAGACTAATAATCGAATGCAGTGGACATTGTAATGGCAGAATAGCAATATGCTATCATAACTTAAGGCAGTGGACATTTCAGATTTAATGCATAATGTAAAAAACACTTGATGTGTGTATATATAGGGCAAGCAATGTACATTTTTTTCTTCGGTGGAGGAGTGATTACACTTTGTTCAGAACTTCCTTTGCTCCTCTTCAGCTTTGATCCAGGCAGCCTACACAGCATGAAGAACCAATAAGCAAAAACAGCTTCATCAACTGTAATTGATAAACATGATAGTGTATTCAAAATCAAAACATCACATATATAGAAAGCTTGTAAACATTATGAACCTTGTCTCGTTCAAGTTTGGAGAGATGAGGTCTAATGGAATCTCCCAAACTTAAGCTTCCCCAGGGTGACCGTAGGTCTTTCTCCCTAGCTTCACGACGTGATAGAGAACTTTTGTTCTGATTTTCAGATTCATGGGAAGACATCAGCTTCTCTCTTTCAAACCGCGAGACATGTTTCACGAGATACTTATCGAGGCTAGGAACTGCTGAAACAACTTCTTTGTGACTAACAAACGTTTTCCTTGCCTGCAACTTGTTGCTAAGGGTCTTGAATTCTTCTCCACCCTTGCATTCAGTCTCTTGCTAAGGGTCTCCACCCTTGCTAAGGATCTAGACATGAGGCAGTGTGCCAGAAAAGCGCTGAGCCCCTAAGGGAGTGGATTTGGGGGTCTCACATCGATTGGAGAAGGGAACGAGTGTCAGCGAGGACGTTGGGCTCTGAGGGGGTAGATTGTGAGATCCCACATCGGTTGGGAGGAGAACGAATCATTGTTTATAAAGGTGTGGAAACATATCCCTAGTAGACGCGTTTTAAAAACTTTGACTGGAAATCCAAAAGGAAAAATCTAAAGAGGATAATATCGGTTAACCATGGGCTTGGGTCAGCTCAGAGCAACATTGTTCAAAGTGGAATCCACACTGTGGGTCAAGTTTGCTTCATCATCATACAAATCAACCGGGCCAAACAAATAGCTACTGTTTTCTCTTTAACGAAAATGGATCGGTTTCGAGAAAGCCAACCTCCTTAAGGAGGAGCTGCTCTAGCCACCATAAGTTGACCCAAGTGAGTAACAGGAGTCAAAAATGTAAATAACAATCATCTACATAAGATTTGTTTTCCTATCAATGATCTTTAGCGCATAAGCGAGGCTCAGTGGTCGAAATAGTAGCAATCAAATATTGTACGTGTCAGATAATTTGTCTTGTGAGATTATTCGAGATGCACAAACTGTAACAGCTCAAGTCTATCACTAGTAGATCTTGTTCTCTTTGGACTTTTCTTTTCAGGGTTCCACTCAAGGTTTTACATCCTTGTAAGGAATACTTCGTTCCCTCTACAACCGCACATACTAGGTTTCATGGGTGAGCTGGTAATTCTAATTTGTTTGGCACTCACTAGTTACTAATATGTTCTGCATTCATATTAGAGAACAAACCAACCCAGCAATATTTAGAAATCAAACACCTCTCCTCTGCCTCGTTCCTCCTCCTATAATGTTCTTCAGTTTGTTCATCACGATAATTTCTTTTTTCTTCAGGATCTTGAATATTTGAGGGGAAAAGAGGAACGAGTAGTAGAGAACTGTAAGTGGTACTCATAAAAGGACTCTTTCGAACACTTTGGAGCATACTTATTTTAAGTCCAGATTGCAAATTTTTGGCGATGTACAACAGGAAATGTAGATTTTTTTTCCCCTCCTTCCATTTGAGATCGAACCAATTGGTTTAAATTTTATTAGAAAAACAACATTTTAGTAAGATTTCACCAGGCATTTGGATCGTGGTGTTCTTAGGATGAGTTTTCTCGGACTGGAGAGAAACCAATTCTTTCTATGTAAATTTATTTTAAACTTTCATTACTTAGTAGTTCTAAGAAATGGGTATCTTCTGCCATGTAAAGTTTACATGTTGCATTGATGTATTGGTAATAAAAGATAGGGAGAGAGGGCAACTTCATTGGCCTGTCCATGCAGTTGTCTATTAGATTTTAATGATCAAGAGACATTTATCAGAGCATTCCTTTTTTTGTTGCTTGAATCCTTATTTGTTAAGTTAAAGAAGTGCATCCATTTCGATACACTTTGTATATAATCTTTGTGAGATCCCACATCGGTTGAGGAGGGAATGAAATATTCCTTATATGGGTGTGAAAACTTCTCCCTAGTAGATATGTTTTAAAACCGTGAGGCTGACGGCAATACGTAACAAGCAAAATCGGAGAATATCTACTAATGGTGGCCTTGGGCTGTTACAAATAGTATCAGAGCCAAACACCAGACGATGTGCTAGTGAGAAGGCTGAGCCCCGAATGGGGTGGACACGAGGCAATGTGCCAGCAAGGACGCTGGGTCCCGAAGGGGGTAGATTGGTGGGGGGACCCACATCAATTAGATAAGGGAACAAGTGCTAGCGAGGACCCTGGGCTCCGAGAGGGGTGGATTGTGAGATCCTATGTCGGTTGGGGAGAAGAACAAAACATTCTTTCTAAGGATATGGAAACCTCTCCCTATCAGATGCATTTTAAAATAACGTTGAGGAAAAGCCCAAAGAGGACAATATCTATTAGCGGTCGGTTTGGGTCGTTACAATCTTGTATTTCCTTATAGGTTTTGTATCTAGAGTGTATAACCTCCTGCTTTCGTTCAAGCGTGCTGTGCTCTTGTTCATTTGTAGACACCCTGGATTGCTCCATTTCTTCAATGATTATGTTTCTTTTCTGTAAGGTATGTATATATATATCTATTACCATGCTTACAGATAAAGTTTCAATGATATAGGGATATTGACCCATGGATATCAATTATCATTCTAGAACTCAGTCACCCATATCCTGATGACAATATTTCTCTTGCAAACATTATAGCATACACAACTAACATTCAACATACACTTGATTTTATCTCTAGAGTCTTGGGAATTGGAATAATGTTAAATGAAGGATGAAATTATGAGAGTTTGATATGATCTGAGTAAAGAAAATTGATTGAGTGATGGGTGCCCGGAATGCTTCTTTGATCATATTCATATCTTTCGCAGAAGAATGTCATTAAAAAGATACTCTTGAGCTATGACTATGTGAGATCCCACATCGATCGGAGAGGGGAACGAAACATTTTTTTAAAGATGTGGAAACCTCTTCTTAGCACCGTAGCAGAAATATTTTAAAACTTTGAGGGAAAGTTCGAAATGGAAAGTTCAAAAAGGACAATAGGATAATAAATATATTCGACCATTCATCATAGTTGATGATCTCTTCTAGACTCTAATTTTTTAATTTCTTCAAATTCGACCTATATTGCTTTAAAAAAATTCAATAAATTATAAAATATTATACTAATATATGAATGGATACAAAAGAATGGAAGCATTCTTGGATAACTCCCATTTATTGGGAGTCATTTTGAAAGGTCAAAATAAATAAACAAATATGGTCACCAATACACAATTTATTATAAGGATGCATTGGTAATAACATAGCTTCATAAATGTGCATAAATTTTTAGGTGATGAAGTCCCACACACTCCCTTCCTTACAAACCCTTTTAATTCCGAGATACTCGAATCGTAACCGAACAAAATTTTGTGATTTTACTATAATTCAGCTGATTTCGATATCTATTCTCAATTAAGAGATTAAAAAATCAAATTCTTTCGTGGAATTAATTTGAAGCGCAACAAAGGGAAATGGTCCCTTTTTTATATTTTTTTTTATAATATTAATGAATTTTTAATTATTGGAATTAATTTGGTGAAAGTCATAAATAAACCCATGCAAAGTCACATTCATCCATTCATCTATCCTATACTTTATTAGACCATTAAATTTCATTGTCAAATTGAAAACCATTGCCAACAACTTTTTTATTTTAATTAATTTTGGTCATTTTCTATAATGGGTCAATTCAATTTTTTTTTTTTTTTATTGAAATTGTTTAAATAAATAATAATAATTTTTCGATGTAATTTGAAATCATTATATACACATTTATGATTTAATTATAAATAAATAAATAAATAAATAGTTTGAATGGGAGATATTATTAGAACGGTGTGCATAAGCTATTATGAATACGTAGATCTTAATATTTTACAGTTAATTTATGTATTTAGAAAAATAAAATAAAATAAAGAAAATAAAGAAAATAAAGAAAATAGAGACTTTAAACTCGTGCAACCTGCAATGATGGTGGTATGCATTGGACATAACTTTTTTTTTTATGCAAATTTCATCCCAAATTCACGTAAGATCGTAACGTTAAATCCCGAAAATGTAAATTTCTTCTTCATTTCAAATAAAATAATCGACATAGCCTGTGGTTTGTAGCTCGAATCCCTCGAAAAGCAAGTCGTTAAAACAATAGAAGAACGAAAAGAATAGAAGAAATGATACGGAAACAAAATCTCTAACCTAAACCTCTCATGACCTTCGTAGCAAACATCGTCAACAGCTAAAACCCTAATCTAAGTGTCTTATGACTTTTGTAGCCAGCACTGTCAACTGCCGAAATCCTAATCTAAGCATCTCACGACCTTCATAGTAAACACCCTCAGTTGCCTAAACCCTAATCTAAGTGTCTCGTAACTTTCGTAGCAAACACTATCAGCTACCTAGAATATTAAAAGAAATTTGAAAAATGTTGAGTATACTCACTACTGCAAATGAGAAATCACGAGAAACGTAACATATGCTAATATGACTATAGCGAAACCTAAAAATTTTACTATTTCCTCGCTTTCATACCGATCTAGATCCACTCTAATCACTTTCGTATACACCGGGCACTATTTTGACAAACCTATTTCAATATTTCCCGACTTTTACGAGCATTTCAAAACATTTAGAGCTCGAATGTTCATAGCATGGATCAGACATGTGTTTGATTGAAGGAGAAGCCATAGCTTTACTCAACAAAAGTAGGTGTAAGGAGTGGAAAAGAAGAACAAGTGGGGAGCAGATTTAAAGAACAAAAGTGTCAGAAACACTGACATTCCAAACACTAATTAGAAGGTCAAATTACAAGGAGCATCTCATTTCTAGACTTTGCTTCTTAAAGCTGTTCATCCTGCCCCCTCTCACTTTAACAAATCATTACAATAATACCACAAAAACTCCCACAAAATGGATCAAGGGACTCGGAAGTATCGATCGATACCGTTTCGGGTTCGATCTCGACCGTGTAGGTGGATGTTTCCTAAACATTACTACCAACAAGGACAATTAGTAAAGATTAACACCGCATCGAATGTGAACCGAAAAAAAATGGACCTCCATTCGCTCCATCCCTAACTGGAAACCCGAGCTCCAACTCCGTCGTTGGATTCTGCTAGTGAGTATAAAGATTCATTCAAGCTTGTTTGAAGCTTGAGAATATTTATCTCTATGTACAGATTAACAGAGGCATTGCATAACACTTGTAAATTATCTATAACACTCCCTAACTCTATATGCTTCCTATAATTAAGATATCAAATCACCTTTCAGTATAAACAACTGCTGCTCTAGTTAGAAATCTGGCTTCCATGTCATGTTATTCATACACTCGTTGTTGTCGACGTCGGGCTTTTCCAGTGCAGCTACTTTCGCTCGGTATGCTGCTAGCGCTATTGCACTTTTCGTCCTTCGTCTTGAAGAACCTCACAGGCTTCACTGATAGAACATGGTCTCAAGTCAGCTGGGGGAATGAAACAGTCCATTGATAGGCCGGGGACGTTGAACGCAACCTCTTCGATTGTCCAGGCTTCTTCCATCCTTGTTTTGGTATGACTCATGGCCATCTCGCCGAACCTGAAAAGGGTGACCACAGAACGACCAGAGTGTGCGATCATGATACCTTCAACGGGTCTGTAATCGTCGAGGAACGAATTGATTGAGGTTTCCCAGTAAACTGCATCACCGCCGTTGGATTGAATGCGAGAAAGATGTGAATCTTCCATGTACACCAGCAATCCTGTTTTCTGACTGAAGTAGCCGAACAAGACATGTCGAATGATCTCGGCCGGTCCTTCGCTTCTCGACTTCAGTGTTTGAGGGTCAGCACAAAGCTTAAGGATGAAGCAATCCTCACCATTTATTTTCTTTTCTCCAATGCATCTTGCATCAGCAAACATCCTGGCTATTGTTCTAGGATCAAGACCCTGCAAAAGACATAACATATCATCTCATACAAATATCAGCAGAGTGAAATGTAATAAAATCTCGAAGTATAACCAAAATCTTACCTGAAGTGCACGGCGCAAAGGTCGAATCGGCCCTTTCGCAGTGTGAGCACCGAGCCAGGGCGTGTGCCTCCAAACAAGTTTTCCATTGCACCCAGCATGAACTTTGCTGCCTCCAACTGCAAGCTCAACATACCACATGTCTGGATTCATCTGCCAGAGCACAAAGCCACCCGACTCGGCTCGGGTCGAGGGATTTCTGCTCTTCATCACCTTCGTTGCAGTTTCAAACTCAGCAGCTACCATCCTAAGCTTCCCCATTGCATATGCATTTCTAATTGAGTTTTGAAGCTTCTGCCCACCAGATGCTGCTGTGTATTGCTGCAATATGTACTGAGCTGATGAAGTTTCCTGAAAATTAATATCAAAATCATTCAAGATCAGCCCACTTCACTGCCTCTAGTTCTTGCAAGTACAAACTCAGACAGTCAAATTCCATAAACAGAACCAAGCATTCATAAACAATTCCTTGAAGAAACGAAGCAGATCTCAAGATTAATTCAACGAAACCCATCTGAAAAACAAGTAAAAGATCTGTTCTATTTCTCATTGCAAGCCAATATCCATGTTGTTTAACTTCAAAATTAGAGAAAAGGGTATCCCAAGCATGAAAAAATAAGATATGGGTCAGACAAATTCAGTATCCATTCAAGGTGTTCTTGCTCAAGAACTCCAAACAGGAAAGAAAAGAGAAGAGAAGCGAGAGACTAACAATGGGGGTATCTTTTATACTCAGGTGTGGCAGAGGATCGGAGGTGCTAACATGAACAGGAGCAAGAGGAGCACCCATAACGCCAAGCAAAAGCCTCAAATCAGACCTCTTATTAGCCATGGAAGAAGCAATAGAGGGAGTTCGAGAGAGTTGCCCTTTCATCCACTGCCCTAATCCCGAACTGATCCTCTTCGAATCACCGATTTCGCCGTCGTCCGGATCGGGACCCTCAACGAGCGGCGTAAGAGCCTCACCCACCGGCCGAAAACTTCCGGATCGTCCAATGAACTGCTGCGGAATCCCGCCATGATTCGCGTACTGGGTCTTCTTTCGACGCAACAGAATCGAGAAGGGCGAGGCAGTTCTCGCCGGACTTTTGGCGCGAGAACGCGACGGCGACAACCCACGAATAACCTCCTCTTTCAAAACAGAGAAGAAGCTGGGTTTCTTCTCCATTGAAGAGAAGGGAAAGGAAATGAAGAAGAATTAGAAGAACCCAGAAGTTCAAAGACAAAATTGATTTGGATTTGGGGGTTTTGTTGAAGAATCTGAAGTCAAAAACTGATGGGTAGTGAGTAAAGAGAAGAATTAGGCAAAATGTAAGGGAGAAATGAAGGGTTTTAGAGTGTAAGAAGTGGGGGGAAGTAGGGCAATGGCGGTGCAGGGCCTCTGCAGCTTAGCTTTTCATAGCATGAGAGAGAGAGAGAGGAAAGTGAATTGTGGTTCTTTCTTTCTGCCATTGGAGCAGAGGAAGAAAGCAGTGGAAACACACTACAAATACCTTTTTCTTTTCTTTTCTAAGATATTCAATAACTAATTACATGTCCCATATCCACTGCATTCCAATATACATTATAAACAAAGAAACTAACTTTCACCAAATTTCTCGAACATAGGTCGACCTTAAGTGTCTATCGTTACCATGATAATTGATATCTTATTCCCTTAATAAACTGTAACAGCACTACGTGTGAAAATTTCTCTCTAACAAACATGTCTTAAAAACTTTGAAGGAAAGCTGAAAATGAATCGGTTTGCTATGACATAAAAATATGGGATCCCACGTAAACTTTTAAATAATAAATTTTGTATCTTTTTTTATTCGTAAATTTTAAAAAATTAAAGGCTAAATTTGTAATTTAATAAAAAAAATATATATTTGTACTTAATATCTCCAACAATCTTATTACATACTCTTTTTATTATTATTATTTTGGCACCAAATAGTCAATTTATTATAATTTTTTTAAAAAATGTAGTTGAAAATTTTTGGTATGAATTTAAACTTTGAATCTAAAAAGGAAAAAGATTATACCTGAGTTTGTGTTTTTATTGATTCGACAAAATCTTACATAATGTTTTTTTTTTATTATTATTATTAGTCTAAAATAATAATACTAATAATAATCAATTTATCAAAAATATTTAATTAGAAAATTTTATTCCAAGTTACAAAAATGTAATAAATGAAAAAATCACTCCAAAACTCTTATAATAAGAGAATGAGAATTATTATTATTATTATTATTATTTATTTATTTATTTATTTATTTATTTATAGTGTTTACCCCAAGTTATGAACATTATTGACTTTCATTTTTCCCTTAAAAAAAATTTAATTTCCATTAAAAAGAAAAAAAAAAGTAAATGGGAAATTTTATTTTGATTCACCCCATTTCTTTTTTATTTTTTAATTCAAATTTAAAATGCAAATTTTAACTCATTTTTAAATAAAAATATATAAATATTGAAATTTCGATCTCAAATACAAAATTATATATCAATATTGTCAAATTTAATTCATTTTTGTCTTCTAACTGTTAGATGAACACGACTCTCTACAAAATATGATATTGTCCACTTTTGCTTTTGAATGAGTAAACGAAATATTAAAAAAGAAAAAAAAAAAAAAGAAGAAGTGAGAAGCACGCGCGAAGGAGGAGAGTGGGGGAAAATGAGAATGGAAAAGGAGTCCAGTAAAAGATGGGAGATGAGTGGGGTAACACTCGGTATGGAACCAAACCCAAAGCCATTCCCACGTGACTCCGCACTCCCCATAATTCCAACCCTAATTTATACTTAATTACAACATAAATCCAATTTCATTATTTTATTACTTCAATTCCTAGGTTTCCTTATATATATATATTCATTTAATTATTTAATTCTTTCAAATATTTAAATATTATTTTATACCTTAAAATTAGTATTTGTAGTCTCTATTAGTTTGTTTTTTTTATATTGTTTAAATATGATAATTATTAAATAATTATTAAATTTATTATTTATTGAAAATTCATGATTTATAATTTATTAAAAATATAACGGAAAGTATGAAAAATACGTTTTCTAAAGTCCTCAAATTTTGAAAAATAGTCCTAAAATCTTAATTTTAAAAAACTAAAAAACTCCAAATTTGAAATTTATGATTTTCTTTCAATTTTTTATTATGTTTTTAAATTTCCTATAAAAATAAAAATAAAAAAACATTTTAATTTTAAAAAGTTGACTTACTTGATTTTTAAAATATGGGTAGAAAATTAATAATTAAAAGGAAAAAAAAAAGGTTATAAATGGTAATGTGGATAATTAAAATGTGAATCTAAAAGTTGGCGCGTTCGAGTAGTCAAACAAACGCGTTTTGTTTTTAGCTTTTGGTGGAATCTTAAAACTAAAAGTATTACCAATTAAATTAAATTAAATTAAATTAAATTAAATTCTTTAATTTTTTATTTTCCCAATAAAGTTCTCCTTCCTTATCCCTTTTATATATATATATATATATATATTATTTTATTTTTTAATCCAACTCTAAATTCCTTCTAATCTTACCACCTAAGTCTTCCCAAATTTACTTAATTAATTTAATTATATCTTTTATTTTGATTACTGATTAGTCAATGAATTCGAGTGAGAGAGTTGAAATTATGCAAGATTATGATCCACAATCAGACCCATCGAAAGGGTATGAGCCACCCACGAGGGTCAGCCAAACTAGTTCGTCATGGCTGAAGTGTCTTGCATGACTAACTTACGTGAAGCTAGTTGATTATGGTCGAAATATAAATTAAACCTTTGGTATGGGAATTATTATTATTATTCAACCAATTTTAATAAAAAATAATTAGTTTCAACGATTTGCTAAAATTTAAACAAAAAAAATATTAAAATTGGTAATTGTGAGAATCTAATATTTTAGGTTAAATAATGACTTTATAATTAATTTTTCTAAAAAGACATTTGAAATTCTAAAATTCAAAAATGAAATTATTTTGCTAAAAAAAACATAATTATATATATAATTTGATCTTCATTTTTTGTGTTGAAAGCACGTGCAGGGTTGATTCTCACTATGCCCAAAAAGATATAAATTACTAGAGATAGAGAGAGAAATTTTTAAACATAAAATAAAATAAATATTTGGTCACCAGGCATGGTGGGGACAGCTGTGTTCCTTCTTTGGTTTGACTTTGACTAAACTATTTTTATTTTATTTTTTCTTTTTGTATTATTCTTATGACTTCGGGACAATATATATTATTAAATTATTATTATTTATTAGAAAATTTGACTTTTAATTGCCATTTTAAATTTAGATTTTTGTATTTTTTAAATTTTGTTTTAGGTTGAAATTATCCGTTGGTTCATGGAGAATTGCGCAAAATCTGGACCGTCCATCTTAGCTGCAGTTGCCAAGTTCATTTGGTGGCTCTAACGGTCAGTAATTTGAATCGCGTTCCTCTTTTCAAGTTTGTTTTAAACGGCGGCGTTTTATGTGATGCAAGCCTTTTCCCACTTTTAAAATTTTCAGTAATAAACCTTTTTTTATGATTAATCCAAACTATTTAACCAACATCATAACGGTTAGGTTGGATTGGGTTGCGAGCTCTATTCGGGTCATTCAATCACCAACTCAACCAATTCGAAACGTCGTGTTAGTCTAAAAAATTTTTCGAATTCAATCAGTGTTCACCTTTATTCAATAGAAAATGTAATATTTTATATTATATCAAAATAGAAATTAAAAATGACATAAAGTTGACATTTTTCTTGTGTAAAGTGTGAACATAATGAAAATTTTAATGGGTACAAAAGGCAAGCTTTAAATGACAGTGTCCCTTAAAAAAGGGTATAAATAATAATGGAATTAAATAGGATAAAAGAGAAGACCTTTTTAGTTTCCACTTGGGATTAAATGGGCATTTATAAATATTCCAAAAAAGTGCAATTTTTTAAAAATTCCATTTTAAATAAGTGGGGAATACTTTTACAAAGTGTTAAATTTAAAGATCGTTTGTCCGGATTGGATTGTGTGAGATACTACATTGGTTGGAGAGAGGAACAAAACATCTTCTTATAAAGGTGTGGAAACCTCTCCCTAATACACACATTTTAAAACTGCGAGTCTGACAGCGGTGTGTCAGTGAGCTGGTAGATTGTGAGATCCTACCTCAGTTGAGGAGTGGAATGAAACATTTTTTATAACGGTAAAGAAACATCTCTCTAACATACTCGTTTTAAATTTTATTATTATTATTATTATTGTTTGTCTGTTTAAAGTCATGCCCAAATCTTTTCACAAAAGATTAGTGTGAAAATGGGCCTCCATAATGGGGAGTTGGGTTTTCATTGTACACAGCCCATAAATAATTTAAGAAACTCAGCCCAACTTGAGGCCCATATAAGCCCATTATTGAATCTCACAGGAAAAATAAACTTTTGTTTTTTTTTAAAAGAAATTATTTTTTTATTCACACCCTAATTTTAAATTTTTTACTTTTTGCCTAATAAAGTTTAGGATTAAATTTGTAATTTAATTTAGTAATTAAATGTGATTTTCCATTAATTTAGTTATGAGAAGCAAGTACAATAAAGACTGCCCCCGACACATCCTACATTTTTCATTTTCTTTCCCTAAATTTAAGAAAAATAAAAAAGAAAAGAAAAGAAAAAGAAATTAGCGTGTCCTAGCTGGAGTCCAACGTGGCAGGGCAGGGCTGAAGTGTGCGGATATTACTCTAGAATCGAGAAGTTCCATAATGGGAGTAAAGTTCACACACCTCGGCACCTTATACTGGTTGATAGAGGCTCCTCTGGAAATTGCGTAATCCATCAGTTCTTCGAATGTTCCGTTCTTCACCACTCTGATTTCTAAAGCTCCGATCGAATGGTCTGCAACTCGCCCTTGCCGGTACACCGAGTTCAGTGATTCCTCCATTGCCAAGCAGCACTCCTCCATTACCTCCTTGCTCGGCCATTTCCCTTCCGCTTCCTTCACCATCAGTTCCCAGTATATCACGTAGTGCCCTGGAATCGTCTTCGTCTCTGCGTAACTCGTGTACTCAACCACGCTCGCCTTCCATTCCTTCAGAAGCTTTGATGCATTCTCCACTGCCTTCTGCAACTCTGCTTCGTCCGTTTTGTCTGAGTCGATGCTCAGGACCACGTTCTTCCTCCTCACGAAATGGAACTGAGGCGCCGCGTTGTGGAATCCGGTAACTCGGAGTATGTCGCCTACTCGGTACCGGTAAAGTCCGGCGTATGTTGTGATTACTAGTTCGTATTCTTTTCCGACCTCCACGTCTACCAGGTCGACGAGTTTCGGCGGCGAATCGCTTTCGGTATTTGGCTCGTGAGGGAGAAACTCGAAGTACGCCATGTTTGGCATTATAGTGTAGGAAACCTCCGATGGCTTGCACATAGGGTTCAGATTCAGTCCGAAATAACATTCGGAAGATGCGTACATCGTGCAAGCCAGAGGCAATCCGCCGCTGTAGTAGTCAAGCGTTGGAATGTACTGCGCCATCGCTCCAGTGACGATCACGTCGAGGTATTTCGTCTTCGGCCAAATCCTCGTCACGATTCCCTCCCAATCCTCCTTCGAACATTCATCCGAAACAAAATCCGCCAATTCCGCGTCCGGCTTAAGGATCTTCTCGATGCAATCTCTCAACGACGGATCGGTGATTTTCGTATTCAACGTTCCGTTCCGGATATCGTTAGCAAGGTCCTGCCAGTTCAATTGAAGGAATCGAATGGCTCGGAGAAGGCCGGAGGCGAAGACGGCACCGAGGCGGAGGACTTGGTGGCGTTGAAGAAGACCGCAGAGCATCTGCGTGTACATGCTCTGGAAGGAATCGGGGCAGAGGATGGCCTCGTTAGGGCTCGTGTAGACAACAAACGGGTCGTAGGGTCGGGTCTTGAAGTGGTCGCTCTTGTAGTAACTGGTCAAAACAGGTCGGGCCAAGAGCCCACCCGGAGTCCTCGTCTCCGATTTCACAAACAAGAAGTAAAGCCCCTTGCCTTTATCCAGCCCAGGCACATAGCTGTCCAAAACAGAAAGCATGAATAAATTAAATTTTACGCGCTTTTAATTTAAATAATTCAAATTCGCCATTGATATTGTTGCTTTCTCTTACAGGTTCATAACTGGCATGAGTAGACTGTACAGAAGTTGACGACGATCCAGCTCCTCCTTAATCGTCGGCATAAGCTTCCTCTCACCGGCAGAAGTACCAGAACTGCAAAAACCACAGCATCAGAAAATCGATTCAACTATTCTAAATTTCTAATTGCTCCGATGAAGAGATTTCAGTGTAATTTACCTGGTGAGGAACTCGGAGATTGGATGGGAGGAGAGGATAGGAGAGCGATCTCCATTGGCAATCCGTTGGATGTCGGGCTCGAGATCCTCGTAGGTGATGACCGGGAGTTTGCCTTTGAAGGTGTGGGGATCGGTGGTGCCGTCGAGGGAGTAACGGCGGAGGTACTCGGTGGCAGCGTTTCTGGTCAAGATTTCAGCGAGGACTGTCTGCTGGACAGCGTCGGCGTTGCGAGTCATTTGCTCGATGAATTGAAGAGCCTTGGCGTCCTTTTCGCAGGCGGGAGGGCCGAGGGGTGAAGAGAGAGAAGAATCGACAGCCATTGGAGAAAGAAAGAGAGCGACGGAATTGAAGAGGAAGAAGAAGTGGCGATGGGTGAAGTGAGATGGAATGGTGATGAGAGGGGGGTTTATATACAGAGGAGGGGGGAGGTGCCACGTAGGAAGGTTGACTGGGTCAGGACCCAGCTGGGTGGGGTAGGAGAAAAGGTTGAGTAGACATTGGAGAGGAGATGGGAGGAAGCTTACGGAATTATACGGAGCGTAGAGAGAGAAAGGAAGAAGACTGAATTTTGTGATGCAGGGGAAAATGGAGACAATGAAGGGCCCACATCACGTAGACATTGCAGCTAGTGAGACGAGCATGTGAAGGTTATGTGATTTCTCTTCCCTCTAACTTAATCAAACATAACTTATTTGAATGTAGTTATTCCACACTCAAAATTAGAGATGAGGAAGCCTCTTTATCTATTTTCGTGCACCGAATCCACAAGGGTAGGTGTGGGCGTTCACGACAGAAAATATAATTTCACTCCTAGCTCAATTTACTCAATAACATGAACCCTCTTTTTCCATTATTGATGGGTTACTCTCTTCTACTTGGAATGTGAGAGTCCATATCCACTATTACCAGATATTGTCCTTTTTTTTTTTTTTTTCGCCTTAAAGCTCAAACTTAGTTACTTCAATTGTTGAATTTTGATTCATTGGTTTGGGGTAAAGTATTTGGCGACAAGTGGCGAAGGAGAATGGGATCGGTCCATAATTCCCTATAACTCTCGTTTCGCACGTGCTGCACTTGCCCAAATAAAGGTACCGTTCTTTTCCAACTTTAATATTATTGAATAGCCCCTCCCCCTCCCTCCAATTTTATCCTATTTTCATTGGAATATGTTGCTCTATTATTTGAATTAAATAACAACTCCTTTTGCCGAATGAAGTCTAATTATTAGTTTTCTTTTTATGTCCATTAAAAAATTAGATGAGACCCATTAATGAATAATAATAAAATAGTGGATGGAAGTACAATTTCTCTATTATTATTTAATTTAAATGTATGAACAGCGAGTAGATATTGTCTATCTTGACTCATTACTTATCGTCGTTAGTCTTATAATTATAAAATGCGTATGTCAAGGAGAGGTTTCCACACACTTGAAAGAAATGTTTATTTCTACCCTTCAACCGATGTGTGATCTTAATACCTCTCCCTAACATACGCATTTTAAAATCGTGAGATTGACGATAATAAGTAATGGGCGAAACGGATAATATTTGCTAACGATAAGGTTGGGCGGTTAGATATGATTTCTCGGATATGAGTTTTAAGAAAGGAAAATAAGGTATTGACCCATTTGAATTTAAACCAAAGGTACGTGTTCTAGGGTACTTGTTCTAGTCTAAGATGATTAAGTAGTCTTAAAATTTAAAATGAGGTGGAGTAACCGTCCAGAAAATAATAAACAAAAGGGAGGCTGCCATTGGAGAGTCAAATTTTGTTTGTTAGAAATGCAGGCAGGCAGGCAGGCAGGCAGGTAGGCAGGCACGCCGCAGCGCAGACCATCACAGTCATAGAGCAGACTTTATAACAATCCAGCATGTAAATAACGAAGACCAGCCGACACTGTTTGCGGAAGCGTTATCCCTTCAAACTTCTGAACTCTCTCCAATCAACTTAATTTACTACATTCATATTGTTTTCTTCATGGTTGACCCAAACCCCAACTTCCCATTTCTTTTCCCCTCAAATTTCGGTTTCATCTTCTCTCACACATTTTATCAAACACCTTGGCTACAAGTCGGCAACTACCCAACAACCGTCCCTGAATAAAAAGATGATGAAATCTTGGATAAAATAAGGTGAAGACAAAATTAGTTTCAGGGTGGTTTAGGCATTTTTGAACCAAACGTAGAAGAGGACCTGCTGTGGCGTGTGTGAGTTAATAAACTTGAGGAAATTGTTAGTGGTCGGAGAAAGTTCAATAGAAGTGCTTAAGGTTGCTTTGTTCAAAAGTTTTCTCCCTTCAATGTTCTTCAATTATTTATTTTGACTAGTTATGATGCAACTGGATCTTTGTGTTTGATATGGCTTGGGGAAGTATACAAAATTCGATCTCCCCATCTGTTTTTTTCCTGGGAATTCAAGGTTAAGTGTACCGCCATGGACAAACACAAAAGAGGAACCAAAAGCTGCTTGTTTGTGCGGCAAAAGATCATATAGACACCGACCTCTCACCAGCTCAATCCCAACCCAAAAACACATCTCCAATGCATGCAATGCTAATGTCCATGGCGCCTTTTTGCCCTTTTGTCTTATGCTCTTGGCTGTTTGGACCACTCCCCAAAACACAGGGTAGTGATTGCCAGGCATGTCATGTGTCACGGTCATAGTTTACTTAAAACCCTAAACCCTAAAGTCTCTTGAGGAGCCGTTTTGCTTGTCTCGACGTGAGGATCACAATCTACTCTCTTTAGTGTCACTGCTTTGTTTGCTTCTCATGTGTCACGGTCGTACTTTACCCTAAACCCTAAAGTTTTTTGAGAGTCGTAGTTTTGCTTGTTTCGATGTGAGGGACATAAACTACTATTTTCATAGTATGCAAGTAACATCACGCACCACATTTTATTTACTCCCAAAATTATAAAGATCTGAGTAAAAATTATCCACAAAAGATTCTTAATTATCATATCTTCAAATTTTGATGTTATAGTAAGTTTTCAACCCCTATATATATATAGAGTGAGAGAGAGAAAGGGATAGAGGATAAGTATGGAGAATGTAATCTTCGTTTTCGACCTATGAAAAAAATGTCTCTTACTTTGTTCGAAACAAGTCGACCTTGTGGGTTACATAAATATCTCTAGTAATTATTTTCGCTAAGCTAATTGCAATAATCAACCCTAACTAAACTAATGTTTTCCTTTGCTCGTGCTTTCCGCACAACAATAATGACTAAATCTCGGAAGCTTATCGAATAATTGGCATTAAATATAATATTTAAAAAAATAACCTAACAACCAATAAGATATTTTATGATGAGTAAATTTCAAAGTCATGATTGAATTCCATTAGAACATACTTAACTTGTCTTAAATGATTTGTTGTCTGACGACGAATGTGACACTTTTTTATTAAATTATTTAAAAAATTTATTAAGATCGAACAATTCTTATGACTTCGATAATATTAATATCTTAACGAACAAAAACAGAAAATATAAATATTTTTTTTGTGGTCCAAATAGGAAAGAAAAATAAAAGTAAAAAAGTGCACCAAAAGATATCTCACTTTCCTTGTCCCCTTGGTCTTAACTTCGCTCTTTTGGAAGCTTTTGTCTTCTCTCCTCTCAGACACCCAGCATACTTGCTGACACACCGTTTGTTGTTTAGTTTTGATACTATTTGTAACTATTTTAGTCTCTCATGTGTCTATTCAGGAGAGATTTTCACACTCTTATAAGTAATGTTTAGTTACTCGTTTAAAATATATTTATATTTATTAAATTTGAAGAAATAATTATATGAATTTAAGTGAAATAATAGGGAATTAAAAAAAAAAAAAAAAGAGTTTGTTTAGAATTTAATTATTAATCGAAGAAAGTACACTAACACAGAGAATGTTCCCAAAAAAAAAAAAAAAACTATATTATAATTAACATGTTGATGAGATAATATTTTGTTTTATTTTTTTAAAAATAAATATAATAATTAAAAAAAAATGATTATATTTCACCTGATTAATAATTAGTTAATAAAAAATGGAACCGACTTTTAATTGGGAGACTACAAAATTAGGTAATGCACATGAATTGCCCCTTCATTAATTAGCTTGCATTAAGGCTAATTAAATGCCCATGTTGTGTCCAATGCTTACTTAATTTCTTTATTAACATTGTACTTTACATAATTAAATGTTACCCAAAAATATTTATATTTTAATTTCATTTATTAAAATCTGCAATTAATGCTATTTCAATCACTTTATTTTTACTATTATTATTATAAAATTATCAGTTTTTAAGTATAATTATTTTTAAAATTTTTGTACCTCACGTGGGTTTCATGCTTATTTAATTTTTGTATTTAAAAGTTTAATTAATAAAATTTTTATATTGTTTTTTAAATGAAATATAAAGTTTAGGGAGATTTTATTTATGGTAAAAAAAAAAAGGGTAAAAAGTGAAACACGTTGTTTTAGAAAGAAATGTAATTTATATTGAAAGTAGTAGAAACGTGGCGGTAGGAGGAAGGTGAAAAATGCAAGAAAATAATTAAATAAAATAAATAAATAAATAAAGGGAATACCCCTACGATGCTTCCTTTTCCAATTCTTTTACTTTTTATATTATTAATATTATTATAATAATTAAGTGGGTTGGTGAACTTTAACCGACGCCATATTTGAGTCTAACGTGTTTAGTTTTAGAGCTTTTGTGATTGAGCTACGTAAAAGAAAGATACACTTTGTTGATATAAAGAGTAATTTTTTATTTTTTTAAGGTTTTTTTAGTCATTTTATCTTTATGATTGCTTTCATTGAGGTGTCGTTGTTGTTGTCTTTTTTGCTTGCATATTATGTAACACCAATTTCTTCAAAATCTCTCTACCTCGTTTTCTAAAACTTTCTTTTTAAACTAGTGCCAGAGGCTCGAGCATATGTCGCTGGGCCGTAAGTAACGCAATAACGAATTGGCTTAGCTCATAATTCATTAGATACTTTTTATCGAGGTCAACTAAGTCATTATCATTTGGGGCTCCAAGACCATTAAGAGAAAGGCTGGCTCGGCCCAAAAAGGAGATGGTAAAAAATGGGCCGAAAGACGGAATGGAGCCCAAAATGAGATGCGCAATATGATTATTAGCGGCGGTTGCGGAAGGCAGACGGTGCGCAGAGAGTAACGGTGGCCCAGATTTGGAGGACTCTGAGACAAAGCCGCTTTATTCTCTCCGCGCGCTGAAAAGAGAAAGAACAAGAAGAACAACCACCACCATCGCCAAAATTCTTACACTTTTCTTCCAAAGCTGCATAAATAAACATCTTCACCACCAATTAGATCCGTAGCCGCCCTCTTCCATGGACAATACTATGCTCTTCGCCAGCACCAGGTACCTCTT